TGTATTATATATATATATATATATATATATATATATATAAAAAAAATAAAATAAAATAAAATTGACGTTTTTCAATATAACTTGGAGAAAATTAATATAGATATATATCATTTATATTTTTCAAATATATTTTTGCAATTATATCACAATACAAAATTTGTGTAAATTTATGATCATTTCCATGATTGTATTTAAATTAATTCGGGATTTATCATTTATATATAAGAAGAATAATCTGATTTATTAAAATAACGCAATCTTCCCTTTTTTTTTTTCTCTTATCGTTAAAATTATATAAAATCTGATAATAAAATTGGAAAAATTACCGAGTTTGTTGTTTCCTTGTTAATAGCAATTTTTTTTCGAGTAATATTTCAAGTATGTCAAAAGAATTCAATGTGTTTCAATCGCTGTGTATATACCTAATATCAACTAAATATTATGCTTCGTTTATAATAAAAAGAAAATAATAATATATATATAATAATATGAGAATAAAAAAAAAATATGTGTGTATACATATATCTTTTGTTTTTTTTTTTTTTTTGTAAATTTTAAACTTGATACACGGAACTAATTAATGTTAATTTAATGATTATCTTTTTATACTGTATAAAAATTCATGAATGACAATTACATTTACAATTTCAAAAATTTGTTAAAAATAACATTTTTGTTCATTGTACGAATCCATATTCATACGTGTTAAAAAAAATATATATGTTAAAAATAAGTTTTAAACCTTGTATAATAATAAGCAAATATTGAAAATTTCAGACCAGAATTGGATCAAAATAATGCAATATATGATAAAGTTGAATAAATTTTCTGGCAAATATGATTTCCAATAAAGATTCCAAGAAATAATCAAATTCAATTTTTGATCAAATTCTTGCGCGAATAAATATAAGATTGAGAAAAATATATATATATATATTTATAATTTATATATATATATATATATAAAATTAATTAAAAAAAATAAAAAATCAAATATATCAACAATTTGTGCTGTACTCTTTTTCCAATTTTTTATTCAAAATTTTTTAACAGTCATGCATAGAATCAAAAATTTACATAAGTCACATAAGTTCATTTCGAAATAAAATCGATTGAAAGAATTTTAATCTTTAAGTAGTCAGCATTTTACTTTTATTTTAATTTTATATTAATCAACTTTAATGATATTCAGTGACTTTATCAAATTTTGCGGTGTAAGTTATTTTATCAGATGACTCTGAATTTTCGTTCGGGAATTTAGTCGATGAAGCCTGGCATTAATCATCGATCATAATCCGCTAATTTTATCAGATATTCGGAAAATAAATTCAACGTAAGTTTCGACATAACTTTGATCTCTCTCTTCTTTTTTTTTTTTTTTCTTTTTAAGATAAATTACAAATTAAAAGTTGGCAGCAGGGAGAAAGTTTGGAAAGTTTAAAGTATTGCCGAGGAAATATTAAAAAATCGAAGGGGAGAAAAAAACACTCGATTCGATCATTCAATCAAAAACAATTGGATTGATTTTATCAGTAAATTTAATTGCGTTGCAATCTTATATGGTTCTCGTGAAAATTTAATTCAACTGGATCGAAGTATTAAATCATGGCGACATTGATACGAAGAATATACAACAGCTATCGTCACCTTAATGAAAATCTATCAGGTATTTGTAATATATATTTAAGAACATATAAGAATAATACAAAAAATAATAAGAAAATTTTATTTATAATTCGATAAATTATCGTTTCTGTATTCTAATAATAACAACAATATTAATAATACAAAGTGTTTTGCACAACAGAGAAGAAGAGAAGGTAAGAGTATAATTACTTTTACATCTTTTACACAAAATGTTGATACAACAATATAAGTGTATTTTTGAAATGTTCGATTCAATTCAAAGCCCTAAAAAAAAAACATAAAAGTTGCTAAAAAATCTATCACGTTTTTTTTTTTAATTTCTTTGAACGATGGAAAAGAATAAATTTCAAATGTGAAGAGAATGAGAAATATATGAAGTAATAATTTAATAATAATTTAACAATAATAATCCTTAATCATCATTGATAAAATTACATATCTAACAACTTGAATGGTACAATAATAAATTCTCACATCAATTTTTCTATAATTGACTTTCCAAAAAAAAAAAAAAACTGTATCGCACAAATAAAATTTTCATGTATAACAATCTAATATAAATGACAATTGATATAATGGATTAAATGAAATGTAAACATTCTTGCATACTTTTGCAAGAATGTGTGTAGTATTTGATGTATTCCATATTTTTATAGAATTGGTTCTACGATAAGGAAATAACGAAAAGAAATAATTAAAAAAAAAAAAATTAAAGATACGAATTAAAATCTTTCTCCAAGTATTAAGATAAAAACTTTTGTTTTTGCAAGATCCTCGGACGCAAGACTACTTCCTCATCGGATCACCATGGGGCTACTTTAGTATAATAATATTTTACTTGTATTTCGTGCACGAATTGGGACCCAGTATTATGGCAAAGAGGAAACCGTTCAATCTGGATAAAGTTGTACAGATATATAATCTGGTTCAGATAGTATTATGCGCATTCTTATTTTACAAGGTACGTGAAAATAAATTTTATTTATTTTTTTTTTTTTTACTTTAACACTTCAACTCCACGATTTTCCACGATGATATTTTAAATGCGAAACTTGAAAAGATTTTATTGAACGGAAATAATGACATTCAGCTTCTTTTCTCCGTATCGTATTCAATACAAAAAATTCATTTATAATAAAATTGAATATTAATGTATTGGCAATGAGATATTTGTTTTTATCGTCAAGATAAAAAAAAGAAAAGGAATAACAAGTGTTGAAGTGTGAAAAAATGATTCATAGTTCGATCAACAACTTGTTGATAAATATTAATATTTTTCTTTTATTAATTTTTCATAAATATTAAGAATGCAAAAAAAAAAAAATAATAAATAAATAAAAACAAAAGTAAAAAATTAAATTTATATAAAAGTATACATTTTCAATAATTACATATTATTCAATCTTCTCGATTCCAGGCAATGACCTTAGCCTGGCTAAATGATTACAGTATCTATTGTCAACCAGTCGATTTTTCATACGATCCTCGCGCACTTGAGGTACGTATAAACGAATATTTTTTTTTTTTTTCCTTTTTCTCCATATCTCAATTAATTAAAAAAATTCTTTTTTTTTTTTTTTGTAAATATCGATGAACGATATTACTCGAAACACAGATAAGCAGGATGGTTTGGTTGTACTTCGTGATAAAGCTTCTCGACTTGCTCGACACGGTCTTCTTCGTCCTTCGGAAAAAACAAAAACAAATATCGTTCCTTCACGTGTATCATCACACAGGAATGACGTTTGGCACTTGGGTATGCACTAAATTTTTGCCCGGCGGTCACATCACTTTTCTAGGTAAATCATTCGATCAATATTTTATACACGATGCTGTGAACGAGGTATCGCGCGTTTCCTTTATCAATCCTATTATTATTATTTTGAAATCTTCGAGAGAGATTGCTTTGTAATTGGTTTAATAATAATAATAATAATAATAATAATATTTAAGGATTAATAAAGAACACGCGAGGTATTATCGAAAGATTGATCAAATTTTTTTTTTAATAATAATTATTTGTTTACCACGTGTATAGGTACGGTAAATTGTTTCGTTCACGTAATTATGTACACCTACTATCTGGTCACCTCGTTACAAAAAGAAACGAACAAACTATGGTGGAAGAAATACGTGACACAGTTACAACTCACTCAATTTTTTGTAATACTGGTACATTTTGTACTGTTGGCGTGGGGCGAGGATTGTGGTTTCCCGAAGTGGACAGCTGCGGTAATGATCCCTCAAAATCTCTTCATGATCGTCCTATTCGCCGATTTCTATTACAAAACGTACATAAAGAAGTATAAAAAGAGCAGCACAAACGGTATCACACCGAACGAGAAATTAAAAAGTCAATAGAAATTTTGTTCGTTTGCTCGGATCTTATGCGTTTCTCAATCTGTGACACAATGAGAGATTACATATCGGAAATCACAGTTCATCACATTTAATAATTTAGACATTTATATTACCGTCCATTACTATTTGGCGATCTTTTATTGAAAATGTACAAGAGAAATTAAATGATATATATTTTTTAGATTAGGTTAGGTGATTTATATATTTTCGTATTAAATATATTAAAAATTTTCAAAAAATATTTATCGGCAAATATAGAAGACAACCTTTTTTTTCTCTTCTGTTCAGATGCATAATGAAAAAGAAAATTTCTTTCCTGTTTTAGTTTTATCTCTAACAGATACAAGCTAGACGAACAAGCATACGTGACAATTTATTTTAAAAATATATTTATTGTTTACATACGTAAGAACGTGATATTTTTTTAATCCTATTTCACGATTAAATGACTAAATTCTCATGGACAGTAGTGTATTAATTAACCGAATATAATATAATGATTCAAATATTATAAAATTATTTGATTCACAAACAATCGTGATATTCATTCATAAAATTGATGAAAAGTTTTTCTTTTTTTCTCATTTTTTGTTGAATCTTATATTCAAATAGCCATATAATACATTCATAGAAAGGATAATTCTCGGTTTTATTTTTATACTTATGTTTATTATCCTCAATTACTTATCAATATCTTAAGTAATAATTGCAATGCAAACTTTGATAAGTACAAACGTAATTATTAATATATAAAATTATTTTCTCTGTTTAATAAGATAGCCAAACGAGGACAGTATGCTATCCTCTTTATCACTAAAAGTAGCTCAATTGTACGAATTTCCACAAGGAAGAGAATACGTTACGTCACGTTATCCCCACTGTTATTGTTAGACGTATCACGTGACTAGATTTCGGCTAAAGCCAAACATTATGCGACATTGACTCTGTCTAATCTAGCAGTGGTAATAGGGATGATGTGATGTGAATTTTGTTATGCAAAATAATATAACGAATAAAAATAATAATAATATAAAATAATAAATAGAAATAATAATAATATAATATTCTTCTTAGAAATTTGTCAGATAAGAATTAATTAATATTTTTAATGATAGAGAGAATAATGTACTCTGACGTGTAGTCATCTTACAATTCTGCAAAAAAGATAATTAAAGAGTGCGGAAATTTATAGAAAATTTAAACGTACAAAAATTTATTTAGAATACATATAATTCTAAACGACAAAATGTAATGTACATTTATTATTTTCTATTTTTTTATTCGTGTTCAAAAAAATTTTATAGTAATTATGTAAAAGTATATAACTTTTTTTCTACGTTATATGTTATGCTATTTTAATTTCCGAAATATTTACAAAAATTTTTTAATAAACTTCATGTATCGTATGAAACGTATCTTAAGATTATTGAAATCTTAGATGAAATGAGGCCACACTTTTAAATATCTTTTATATACTTTTAAATATTTAAATTTGCCTAAAAATTCGCAATGATAATCATAACGATGATAATATTTGCGCTGGAAGCAAATTCGATATGACTTTTTTGCGACATGTATACATAATTTCACTAATTTGAAGCATCTTTTTATTTGGAATTAATATATATTACTATTTGTAAATAAATAAACAATCAATTGTTCAAGATATATATGTATGATCATTGTATTTGACCATTGACATATAAAAAAAAATTCACCTAACCTAAAAATTTTAATGAAAATAATAGAAATATAATATAATAGATTATACATGAAGCAATTTTTCGATAAAAAATCTCTTTTAAAAAGATGAAATTAATGTCAAAAGTTGCAGCATTTGTTTCATGAATTGAGTATAATTTTGTGTGGAATTTTTTTTTTTTTTACAACAGTATAAAAGAACATTATATTTTGAACATTTTGTAATTTAAAATATTGTTCTATTTTATACTATTGTAAAATTATATTTAAAAAAAATAAAAACGTATTGAAATATTAATTTTATGGTATTAATTAATTGTTTCTTAAAATAATATTTCGATAAAAAAAAATTGCTCCATTTAATGTTGTTCTATATATATTCATATTTTTGTTAAAAATAAAAAATTGTTCACATTTCAAAAAAAGTTAGTTAAAGAATAAATTAGTTAAAAAATTTTAGTGTATTTATAACAATAAGTTCAAAATTTATAAAAGAATGTGTTTTATATAATAAACGTGTATTTACATTGTAAATTTGCTAAATAAATGATATGGAAAAAAGATTAATATATTCAACTTATTTTAATTTAAATTAATTAAAATAATTAATGTAGCCGATCACATGATGTAATAAAAAAATGATAAAGAGAATTATTAAGAGTTATTAAGAATTATAAAAAAATATTTATAATATTTAGATAAGTTTATATATATAATTTAAGATTATAGATTTATATATTATAGTATTTAATATAATTACGCAAAAAATATTTAAAGATATAATTTTTTTATTCAATTTATTCAAAGATATTATTATAAGATAATTAAAACAAATTAATTTTTTACAATCATCATACATATAATTATTATAATAAACATTGTAACCACTAGCAAGGAAAAAATCAATATATTGAACTTCTGTAGCAATGATATTTTATATAATCCAATAAATATAATCCAAATATATGTAATATTTATTGTTACGATATTAATTTTTAATTAATATTCTTTCAACAAAGATAATAGAGTTATCTATTATTTAGTTATTTATTTATTTTTTTAAAATTTATAAGCATCATCGAATATGTTAAATCGCATTAAACGAACAAAAACAAAGAATACAAATAAATGAAACCATCATTAAGGATTAAAAATGACAATAAAACAAATGAAAAAAACAAATTATCAAACAAATTATCTTGAAATCACGTTTTGAAATAATGCAAAATTAATAATTTTTAATTCTTATAAATTATCAATTATCAAACACAATTATTAAATGTATAAATTAAATGAATACAAATATTTCTCAAATTAATGATTTTTCGACATAAATAGGTTAATACTTTTTTGAAATATGACTTATAATAAGAAATATTTTAATAATAAAAAAATACAAGTGGGTCAAAAATAACATAACCATTGACCATTAAAGAAAGTATTTCTGTGCATCCATCATATATTTAAGAAAACAACACTTATAAACTTATCCGGCATACCAATCGATAATCAATTGTATAGAATCGTTTAAGCATCTACTCCATATGTAATAATAAATATGACGAGATCATCATTTTCCACAAATGACAACAACAACAAATGATCTCACATATTGCTTTAATTTACATGGTATCTTAATCTATTAATATATTATGAAAAAATATGGAAGACAAAAAAAAAAAAAAAAAAGGAAATGAACGTAAGACTGAATCAGGATTTGTTCGAAAAAGTCAACCTACTTTATCTGACACTTTAATGGATAATCAACAGTCCGAACGAAAGGTAAAACTTGTATGGTATAGGCACATAAAAACAGGAAGTGCCGTTATACCATGTTTAAAAATATCTATATCGATTACTTTATAAAAATTTAAAAATAAGATTTTTAAAATAATTAATTAAGATAATTTATTTAAAATTTTAAAACATACATATGTAAAAATTTTATCATTTCCTTTATAATTATAAAATTATCTAAAGATGTTTAGTATATAAATTGTTTTAATTATAAAAATTTAAAACTGAAATCATTTTTCTTTAATTAAAATAGAAGTATTTAATATTTTAAGATATATGAAATAATATATGAAAATTGAAATTTTTATTACTTTCTGTGAAATCTCTAAATTAGGATAAATAAATTAGATCTGATTTTAAATATCCCTGGAAAATATATAATAATTTATTTAAAAGTTAAAATACGTATGAAATTTCACCTATATCACCATAATTAATATGATGACAATACAATGATAATATGATACAAAGAACATTTAACAAAAAATAATGACAGATATTAAAAAAAGTTGAGAGGTTATAATTATTTTCTTTTATTAATAATTAATTAAATAATATTTTTAATTGAAAAGTAAAAATAAACTCTAAAAAGTTAAAAAACAAAAATAAAATAAAAATAAAAATTGCTTAGGTTTATTATCCACTTTATTATGTGTTAAAAATATTTTAATATATCTTGAAAAATAAAAAAAAATGATAATAGTGTATTTTAACTAAGAAAACATTTTTATTTCACTATTTTTATTGTTTTTTACGATATTTTTTAGATAAAACTATATTGAACATATTATCTATGACAAAATTGCTAGAATTCTGAATAAACGATATAACTTTTTTATTTTCTTCTTATAAATAAAATACCAGATAGCAATATATACAAATATATTTATAAAATTTCTTATATATATATAACCAGTTATAACAAATTCATATATAAATAAAAAATATAAATAATTATATATCATATCATATATAAATTAAAACATAAAGAAAAAAATTTATTTCAATAATTATTAGACTCAGAATCTATTTTGAAATATATTTAAATAATATAATTCAAAAATGTATAATAAAAAATTTTGTTAAAAAGATAAAAATACGAAATACCAATAAAAACAATCAAATATTTTTAAATAAGTCCGTACATGTTTCGTATAAAATATAACCTTAACAGTTGTGTCGAAGATCATCGATTGATATTGTATTATATTTTTATATCAACAGAAACTTTAATGCATGCAAAAAACATCGTGAATGAACTTATTTTTTTTTTGCTAATGTCTTAATCGAATTATTGCTACCGCAAAAAATTTCGATTAAAAAATATTTTTGCAAAACCTTGTCCCGTTTTTGACCCTATTTCGCAAATTTCTTCTATATACTACATGTAACTGGCTTACTTTGTTCTATACCACGTTAAAAGTTCTTTAAAGAAACCTGTAATGATTCCTCGGTATTCGTAAGTGTCTTCACGCTATTGGTTGGATCGCAATTGTCGTTTGTATTCACGTGTAAACCTAATTTTGTAAGTCATCAATGCAGACTTAGTTATTTAAAAATTATATTTGATTTATGACAAACTGATCTCCAATGGCAAAAACATAACCTTAACAAATGGACACCATCAAAAAAGACATGTTCAAGTTTCCGTTTGTTCCACTTTTAATTTTATTACAATGAATGTTATAATTATGGAAGAGAAGAATATCAGAAATAAATGGACAAGACAAGATAAAACAAATGAATATCAAACATTTTTGTAAAAAGTTTTTGAAATTGTTATAATATATCATAGGTAAATTATAATAATTATTATAATTATATCTATAACAAAGATTAATTATGGAAATAAGTGAATGCTAAACATATTTTTGTAAGAAATAAAAAAAAAGGAAGTTTGTGAAATTATTGAAAATATAACATAGATATATTATAATTTTCTCTATAAAAGAGATAAACTATGGATGCTAATTTTTTTTTTCAAAGTAAAAAATTTGTGAAATTTTATAATATATGTAATATATAATTAATATTATAAGTAACTATAAACACTTATGTATTTATCCTCTTTAAATAAAAAAAACTTACAAAATACATACGACATAAAAAAAAGCACAAAATATTCAAAATATAATCTGCATTATAATATTTAAAGAATAGAACAAATTTTTATCATATGTAAAAAATGTATTTTATATAAATATCCATAATTTAATTATCAATATTACAATATACTAGAAAAATAGATGAATGTTAATCATATTTTTGAAGTTGTTATAATATATATTATATAGATCATATATTATAATTATTTCTATAGAAAGAAATCTTTAAATATAAAATATCAAATATATTTATACAGAAGAATGGACAATTTTTGAAATTATTATAATATGAACTTTGAATGAAAAAAAATCTGGAAGTTAAATTGTCAAACATATTTTAGCAAAGAAATAGATAATTTTAAATTATTATAATCATACCATTAACATATTATAATCATTATTATGAAAAAAAAATATGTAAAAGACATCAAATTAGACAGAAAATTAAAAAATCTTTTGAATTATAATGTATCATAGATATGTTGTATTTAATTTTATAAAATATAAAAATCCTGAAAATATATTAATATAAATCAAAATATATTATCAATCAAAAATTTGAAATTATATTTTTTTTCTTTTCATATTGAATTCTAATTTCTTCTTTTAATTTTGTAATTAATTTGAAATTAATATTATATATTTATGTATTATAGTAATATATTTATTACATATTACTTTGACAAATTTTTAATAAAATAATTTTCCAAAATAATAAAATCCTAACTTATTTATTTTTTAAATATTTTAATTTTATGTAAAACAAGTTAAACTTTCAATAGTGTAATTTTGCAAAGAAATAAAAAATTTTTGGAATTGTTATGCCAATTGCCTTATTCTCTTTATTTTTTTAAATATTTATTTAATATATGATATATTATATTTTATAGTATCTATACTATAAAACACAAAGATAATAATATATTTAACACAATGCAAACTTAACCTCCAAGATCAAATTATCTATTTACCAATGATATGAAGTAATAGAGTCTAATGTAAATATTGAATTAAATTAAAATATTTATCCATAAATTACTTGGTTCATCACTTTATAAAAAAAGAGCAAAAACATGTTCTCACATTCGAAGTTTTTTTTTTTCTCTAAGATATTCTGTCGATCCACGTTTCTTTATTCCGGCAAAACAACTTGTTCGATAATATGACAAACAGACGTACGGCAAATAGAAATCATTCGTACAACTTTACTTTTGTCTCTTTTAAAAAGTATGACCTGTTGTTAATCCCGTTTACAAATTCTGCACGAATATTCATCATTGCTTATAACTGTTACGTTGTTTACGATATATATGTCTCTCTCTCTCTCTCTCTCTCTCATATATATATATATATATATATATATAT